ATGCAGATGGGATAAGGAGCCAAGATTTTCAGTATCTTCCCACTGCCTACCAAACAAGTCCCAGAGCACTCAAGGCTCCTCAGAAAATGGCCCAGGCATCCTTTTTCACCTTCTCACCAGATATATCAGTCAATCTGAAGGATGAGATCTCCAAAGGCAAATAGTTGAAAAGCCTTCTCCCTTCATCCTTGCCTATGGAAATCCTCCATAATCTCTAAAGATCCAGTTCAAACAGCTCCTCCCCAGAATGTATTTCCCAGGTCATTCTAGTTAGAAATAATCTCTACCATTTCTCAGCTCTATAGAAAGGCTGGCAGCCTCTGACCACTGCTCTCATCATATCCACCACTCCAAACCACCTGGGGTTCTTGGCTTCCATCACCTTCTTTTGTGATCATGCCTGGCAGGTGCTCTTTCCTGTGCCTGGTGTATCTGTCTCTATGCTTGGTAAATCTTTCTTCATGTGTCAACTCTTCTGAGAAAGCTGTTCTCCAAAGTCCTGGGCAGACTTGGTTATTGCCTGCCTTCTGGTGCTCCCACACCACCCTCGGCCTTCCATGTGCCTGCACTGCAGCATGTATCCCAGCCCAATGGCTGGTACATAACACTTGCTGAATGAAGGAACTCCAGATCCACCTGTGCTGGGAGCTGTGTTGTCTACTCTCTAGATAAACAGGAACAACTTCATAGAAATCTTATTCTTCATCATTCTCAGACAAGGAATTCCACATACAACTGCCTACAACAATGGTCCAGCATTTAGTCCCAGCCTCCACATACAAATCACAAGCACTGGCTTAGGAGCAGGAGGCCCACTCACTGCCCTACATCAATCCTCACTGCTTACTCCACAAATGAACAATGCTGTCCTCCTAGACCCTCACTCTCCAGGGCCAGAGATGCTCTGGACAGGGTCTCCTTCTGGGGTGCTGGCTCTCTCTCCTCAACCAGCTTACTGAAAACACAGCCACCAATTATCCCCAATGTTAAGAAATATGAAACTCACATATAGACTTTCAGCTTGGCAATACTTATTACCAGTGCTTGTTTAGGTTCCAGAAATTACTCAGTGAGGCAAAGTCAGTGCCTCAGCAATACACTCTTGCTACTACTCCATCAGGAGGCTTATCACTCACAGACAAGCTCAGTGACAGGTCTGTTGCTCAGATCTCCCAAGCTCAGCTCAAGGTCTTCAGTTCAGTGTGATGCAATTCTACCTACATGGACAGTCAAGCTCAGCTCAAGGTCTTCAGATAGCAGTTCAGTGTGATGCAATTCTACCTACATGGACAGAACTTAGATTCCTAGTGGAGGCGGGGGTCTCAGCAATGTTAGGGCAGCAGGCTCAATGTGAATGTTTGATAAGGCCAGACTTCCCCCTTGATAACAAATTCCACAATTCAAGAAATGGGCTTTTTCCTCAGACTCTAGGGAATGGGATCCAGAGCAATATGGGATTACCTGCACAGAAATGATTTAGATTTCCTTCCTAGGGAGGCCTGGCAGCAGCTACATAGTTTTCTCTTTAATTAGCCAATTGTGTATACTATATCAACAGTCTCCTGTCCTTCCCACACAATGTAGGTTGACTCTTCAAGAATTTCATTTGTCAGCATCTTCCTTGAAGCATAGGGACTCCTTAGGAATCATAAGCAAGAGGTTTGAGGTCAATACTCAGACTTGGACCTGATTCCTAACTCCACAAGTCCACAGTCCTTTGGGGAAAGAATGTTCAAAATTGAGGTTAGAATTCCACTAGAGGTCTTCAAGCAGATGCTGGAGATCATTTTTTCAGGGATGTTTAAAAGGAATTTGATAATGCCACCACATCATTACAGTGTAAGCTCCTGAGGGTCAGCACACCATCCCAGTCAGTTCTTTACCCCTTCCCACCAAATAAAGGCAGAGAGGATTGTTTCTGCATAGTGGTCAATAATGTTTGATGATTGTTTTTTAATTAATACTTTTTTTAAAAAAACATGAGCAGATAAATTAGATGAGAAGGAAAAAAGTGTGAAATACTCACTGACAGAGAGGTGCCTGCTTCTGGGCTCGGGGGGCTGGTAGATGGTATTAATATCTCCCGCAGACTGGGAAGCTTTGATCCTCACCTGCCTGGACACCCCGGAATGGGGAGAGGAACTGGTCTGCAAGATAAGAGGTAAAAAGCTGAGCTATCTTTAAGCAGGCAGGCAGAGAAAAACCCCCTCACAATCTCCTAGGCCTCCCATACCCTCAGTTGCCTTCATGCTTTCAATACATGAGCTACCCAGATTTCCCCCAAATCTCACGCCTCAATCTGTCTTGGAAAATCACTACTTGCTCGATATAGTCTTACATCTTCACTGACATATGAGCACTAAGACCCAGTGCCCCAATTTAATAGGCAATGACCCAGACACAGAACAACAACAAGGATTCCTCTGTTAATCAGCCAAACAGAAGAGTTGTAAATACCCTCTCATAAAATTCTCCAGAGAGCTTGGGAAGAATAGCAGGAAAAGCAGGAAACTATTTCAGCAGCAAGATCACCTGCTGAGTGGGGGGTCAGAAAAGAAAATGATGGCAAATTCCCTGTCCAACAAAATTCTGGTTGATAAATATATATTTTAAAAGTAGCTTGATATGCTACTTCTTCTCCAATCATAATCACTTCCTGAAAGTTAAGGGAAGATCAGAGTTGCTTCATATTACTGGGGTTTACTTGTGAACCATCTCAGGATTGTGTTTGTCTGGGAAAGGTACCATTTTGCCAGGGGTCAAGGACCTCAGAACAGGGTCAGCAGCCTTACCACATCTACCCCCTCTTTTGCACTGACCCAGTCGAGCCACCAGGTAAGCCCTAAAGAGAAAACAAAGCAATAAAGGGGAGTCCTACACTGAGAAAGCTTAAAACTGAAGCTCAGAGGTAAGCAAGTGATGTCAAGATGTACTTACAAATATACAGAGCACTACCGAGAGTGGAAATGGGAGCTTGGGATTTATAAATAATTTGGATCAAAGTTTCTACTTGCTTCTTTTTTACCTTCTATAAGAAAAAAAAGTACGACCTAAACACACTATATCCTGTCCTTCAAGAATAAGGCTTCCCGCTCTCAGGGGTGAGTTCAGCTGCCAAGCAGCCTCCTCTAGTCTCCCCACGCCAGACTTTATCACATGCAGGGCTGTCTTAACAAACCGTCTTGCTCTAACGGGAAGTCAGAACCAAGAGGAAGTGAATGTTCTTGCTGAAGTCTCCGATGTGCAATAGCTCTCTGCTGAGAGTCAGAAAGGAAAAAACAGTCAAAGCAACATACTGAGGAAGCAGGTCAGTGAAGGGCAAGGAAAGGCCAAAGCCCTGCAGTCAGAAGGAGAAGGGTTCCCTGATGTGGACCCCGGGATACCTGCTTGGACACAGGGCCTTACACATAATGTGAATTCAATAAATACATCCTGGCAATGCAGGTTAGAAATGTATCAAGAACATATGCTCTAAACCCTCAATTTTAAAATCTAAAAGTTGAGAAAGGAAAGTAGGTTCAACAGTCACTTGAGTATAGGTTTAAAAAAAAAAAAAAGGCTGAAGTTGTGACAACAGGTTGGAAAACAGATGAAGAAAAATCAGTAAAGTTTTCAAAGCAGGGCTTCTCATACTTTAATGTGCACATAAATCACCTGGGACCTTTTTAAATGCAGGTTCGGATACAATAAGTCTGGCATGGAGTTGAGAACATGCATTTCTATGCTGCTGGCACATGGACCATACTCTGAGCAGCAAGGTCTTAGAAAATGAGTCATGTTTCAATTTAAGGCAATGGTTCTCAACCTTAGCCATCCCTAAGAACTGCCTGTGTGGCTTTTAATACTTCAGACCAACAGAATCTCTGGGGATGGGGCCCAAAGGTTGGTATTTTTAAATCTCCCCAAGTGTTTATAATATTCACTCAAGTCTCAAAACCCTGATTTAAGGAAATAAAAAAGAATAGCATGGTAAACAAAAATGACGTTGATGCAAGGATTCAAGGAACCCTGAACGAGACTTAGAAGTGGGAAAGAGAGGAAGGGGGAAAGTAGGACTAGGAAAAATAAAAGGGGGCAGTAGAATGAAAGAAGAGCCAACAGGTGTCAAATGTGTACCTAGTAGAACATTCTGAAGATAGCAAATAGAAGGTGGCATTTGATCATTCAATATAAACCTCACTGAAGGACTCTATGGTAGCAGTGTATGTGGCTGACACAAACAACATGAAACTCTACCAGGGAACCATGTGCATAAAGACTGCAGTGATTGGAAGCTAGGAGATCAGCAGAAAGAGGTTAAAAAAGTTAACCCAGTAATTATCGTGATAAAAGATTTGGTGGTATCAGACAAATGGAACAAGTGGATTCAGCTACACAGGGAGAAAAAAAAAAAAAGCAGTGTGTGTGTGTGTGTGTGTGTGTGTGTTTGTTTGTTTTAGTTAGGTTCATGGGAACATCTGCTGAGAAACGGCACCCTGGACCTCACCAGTCCTCTGCTTCAGCGGTGCTACCAAGAAACATTTGCATGGAAGACCATGATAGTTATGATAGTTGTGGAAGCATCCAGGTTATTTAATAAATTTACAGCTTTAATATCCATGAATTTATTAAAAACGTTAAAAAAATCTGTTTTGAAGCTGTACGACTTGAGTAATGAATACCATGTGTACACCCCTTACACAAAGTCTTATTTTCTTTTTGTTCTATGCTATGTTCTATACTGCCAATATTCAAGGAATTCATCTAAATTGAGATTAGGTGAATAAATCTGTTTTTATTATCCCTCCTCTTCAATGTTCTGCAGACTTTAATTATATATGTGCTTGCTTAGGCTGCCTTTCCTGACTAAAGAGTTCCTGGCTTTTTAGGCTATTTACATATAAAATGACCCCTAACCCTTTAAAAATTCTTTCTTCTCTTGGACCCATCCTAGTTCAGTTATTTCTGAGCTTGGAGAATATAATGATACATCTCACAAGTTCTCCTCGTGGATAACATTATACTTTCTGTTCTGCTTCTAACAAACTGTGGAGGGTAAGGTTTTCCAAAGACTACAATTATTCTAAGATTCCTTTCCTAGATCTTAGGTAACTGACACATACTGGACTACAAGTCAGAATATCTGGATTTTAGACCAGATCTGTCACTACTTACTGCCTCACCCAGGGCAAATCACTCTAAGTCTGTTTCCCCAGGTGTAGACTGGTGATAACAGATGCCTACTCTGGACCTCTCAAAGTTGCAAAAATTAAATGAGATATATGTAAGTTTTGTTCTATCTTCCTGCACTTGCCTCATTATTTTAGGAAGAGTGAAAATTAGCCTTTAGATTATCCTTAATATTTTGAACTTAAATAGTAGACAAGATAGCATCAAATTTACTGATAGGAAATTTGAGCAAGAATTGGATGAGATTAGAAATTTACTTTTGTTAGCGAGACTCAGAGGTAACAAAACAAAATGCCATACTCAGTTTAAGGTGGCTGGATATTTAGTTTTTACTGTATGAAGATACAAGTGACAAAAAAAGGTTAAGCTTGAGAGTACTTTATGAAAGTGGAAGACCTGGGTCTAGAAAGTTATGGAAGGTCTAGAGCAAAAAGATAAATTAAGAGTTAGATGCACACATGTTTAGATAAGTCTTTAAAAAGAATAAGCTAAGAACTGATGGTTCAAGGCAGAGGCCTACAGCAGCAAGAACTGCTGAAGGAGACAATGAAGTATCTTAAAATGGCAGTAGAAAGCAAGGCTAGAGAGGGGCTCCTCATACTAAGAGAAGGTTCTATAATTACCCAAATCCAGGAGTTCTCAGGTAAAAACAATATTGAGGCCTAAGACATGACCTTGGCCAGGTGAGGTGGGAGGGATATGACAGTACACCTTGGTGAGAGATGAAGACAGAGGAAAAATTAGAAGCTGTCATAGAAGGATCAACAGAAAAGGTAGCCAGAGAGAATAAAGAGAAAGAATATTTAAAAACAGGAATAGGAAGAGAAATAAAGGTATAGGTGGTAACAAAAGGTAGATAAGGCAACAGAATGCTAAAAATGTAGGAAACTAAGTAGAGAAACAAAGTGGTTGACAGTCCTCTCAGCAGGAGATGAGGACCAGAGTGATATGATATCCTGGAGCAGTGAATGCCAAGTGTGATCTGTAGGCTGGTGCTAGGCCAAAACCTGTGATGTACCAGTTCTTAACCAAGTAAGTACAGAAATGGAGAGTAACTTTAAAAACTTTTACAGCAATTTGGCAATGACTTTATGTCTATTGAATCTGACAACAAAAACTGTGGGCTTATATTTTGTTCATCTCTAGTTCATTTTTCCATTATATTTTTCAATTTTTGTGTTTTAAAAAAAGAATTGGTTCATGACAGATTGGAAATTACAAGAACAAAACTGATATTTCATTATGGACATTGAAAAGCTCTGTTCTAAAGGTGGGATTCCTGAGCACATAGCAATTTTGGATCATGATATTTCTGTTTATTAAGAAGCTTGAAGTCTAGCTGAGGAAGTTCCCAAGAGTTCATCACCATTATTACCACTGCCAGTCTTAAATGTACATCTTCATAGATGCAAAAAATAGGAGTAGCTTAAAGGTCCCAACAGTAGCAAAAATGCTTATTTAATTATGGTACACTCACTCAAGAGAATTATGCATCCTTACAAATTATAATAATGAAGATTATATATTAACATAGAAAAATGCACATAAAAATAGAAAAAATTAGAAAATTGTACAAATATTGTAACAACACTTAAAGTATGTATACATATGGCCATAGACTGGAGGAGCATATGCAAAAATAAATTAATGTGTTATAGTGATCATCTTTCGAATAGTTCTGGGTATTAAAACAGTATCTGCAGCCTTGTACACCCCTTAATGGATGGGAAAGCAGATGTAAAGAACCAGTCGTCTCTACCTTCTCATCAGGGGAGTGGAGGGATAGAATCAGGGGAGCTAGCTCCCAGTCAAGCAATCATATCATTAAACCAAACCCCAATTCCAGCTTCTTCTATAAGGAAGGGGTTGGCTGGATATGATCGCTGTTTGACTCTTGCTAACAATACAATAATCATTCACTGTTTTTTCTCAAGAGGATGGGTAGGGGAAGGGGTTCCGAAACAATAAGAAACAGCTCCTGCTCTTGAAGAGCTTATAATATTTTGGGGTAAAACTTACAAATAGGCAAGAAGTAAAGGGGAATTAGTAAGCAACCTATAAACTAGTGTGCAAATTATATCCCATGACTATAGGAATAGGGAATAATCAAAATGGTCTCAGTCAAAAATACTGACCAAATTATATGAGATAATTCATGCTAGAGCCTAAAAATAAAAGTGATAGCTATGGCCTGGCAAAGAGGAAAAAGGAAGAACTACAGAATAAGGGAAGTATGCTGAGGAATGTAGAAAGATGAGACTAGAGAGTTAAAAGCAAGGGTAGTTGGTGATAAACTCTGGATGCTAGGCTAAATTTAGATCTCATATGATAGGCAATAAGGAAGGACTATAAGAGCAAGTGAGTAATTTAAACAGAGAAATGAAATTATAAAGTATATATTTTATTTCAGAATACTTTCCAAAACATATCCAGAAAAAAGACACATTTGGGATAGAGACCAATCCTCACGCACAAGGACAAGTCTATGATTTTAGAAAATGTCTTTATTCTAAGGCTTCCTAACTGCATTCTCCTGTGCCTCCTGCTAATCAATCGGACAGCCCAACCCCATAAGTCTCTTTAAAAATAAATGATCAGCATGAGTACCATTCCATCTAAACTCTGTCCTGGTATGGTGCATCCATAGTTCTCACGCAAGAATGTCAGCTTTCTACAGTTGACTGTTTTCAAGCAGGAAAGAGGGCCAAGAAACCTTCAGGAACATGTGTCTGAAGAAAACTGGTAAAGGAATCAGTGATTAGAAGACAGACCCAGTTTACAAGCATTCTTGTGGAATGTAGGCCTCCAGGGACCCTTTAGGAGAGGAAATTGTTTAAGAGATAATTCCTCACTTCTGATGGTCCCTGTAGATTGCCTACCATTTGGTAAGGCAGCAGCTGGTAAGTTACAAGAGGCCCTCCAGCCCAACTGCCTTTTTTCCAATGAACAGAAGGACAAGTTTGTTTCCTACATGTGTCCCAAGGGAAAGACAAAGCTGCTAAGGAGCTGCAGGAGTTGAGCATGATAGTCTCAAATCCTTGACAGCCTTTGCTTATCAGTACCCCCACATTAATCAAATCTTTTGTTGGGGTCCAAATCTAATTGAAAGAACATAAATATAGAAAAAAAGAAATTTCTCCATTATTATAAAAAGTTTTCTTTCTTTCCACACCACAAGCCAAGTAACCTTTCGCTGCAACTGTAATAGTGACAATCTGGCTTGGAAGTGAAATCAAATGCAGAAGGCTAGCGGGCCACTAATACAGTGGGCTGAGCTGTGCTTATGTTCTCACTTTAGCAGTCGCAGAGGAATATAAAATTCTGTCAAGGAAGCAAGGCAAACTCCTGAAGGGCAGCAGGTTTTATCTTCCACTGCCCGGCCATGATAGGGGCTACTTACATGGTTTCTGTCCTGGGACAGCAGCAATATCCTAAGGCTTTTCATTCTTGAGCTTCTATCCAAAATATCAATTGCTTTATCAAGATCATCTTTGCTCTTCAGCATGATGGAGAGCTGTGACATAGGACACAGAAAAAAGAAATCATATAAAAGTCTTTAGTTTGCAAAAATAACCTAAATAAAAAATAAAAATAAATTTGAAGGAAAAACAATCTCATTGGCTACTATGGGGTCTTAAGAGATCTAACTGAAACCATAGAGATATTTTCTTTTTCTTTTCTTTACATGTATAATTCAATAATTTTTAGTAAATTTACAGAGTTTTACAACCATCACAATTCAATTTTAAAACATTTCCATTGCTCCAAAAGATCTCTTGTGCCAATTTATAGTCATCTGCCTTCCTACCTCTAGCCCCAGGTAACCACTAATCTACTTTCTGTCTCTACAGATTTGCCTTTCATGTAAATAGAATCATACAATGTTCATATGTATTCAATTCAACTCAATGCATAGTCTTTTGCATCTAGCTTCTTTTTCTCAGCTTAATGTTTTTGAGTTCACCCATGCTGAAGCACCTATCAGTACTTTGTTTTCGAAATATTTTCTGAGAAGAGCTTCTTCTCTAAAAATACTCTTAACTCCAAAGCATTAAATCCCAAATGGTTATAGTCCCCACACTCCTTCCCAAATTAAGCAGTAGAATCATGTCCCACCCTATCCTGTGCTGACATTAACAGAACAAGCAGAAAAGGCACAGATGGAGGAGGAGGGAAGGCAGAGGATAAAAACTGTTACTCAAAGAAGAACATAAATTTAAACCACGTATTTTAATAATTAATAGTAAAAATCAGTGACTAGAATATAGAAACCACCTCCTCCATTTTCATTCCACTGAAGTATTAAAGAGAAAGTCCTTGAAGGTACAGATAGGTCTCACTGTTAAAGCAGAGGACACTATGAGTACTAAGTATTAAAAGATACAAAAAAATGCTTTGCCTAGAAAATGTCAGATCTTATACATTTGTGGCAAACACAAAATTAGGCAAAAGTCCAATTAATTTCCCTATTTATAATACAAGGAGATGAGAACTCAAATCCTAGGCCAGGAAAAATGAATAATAAGAATAGTAAAATAAAATCTCAAGATAATCCATGGAATGGGAGAAAATTTTGCAAATCATATCAATTATAAAAGAATTCTTTCCTGGGTAACATCAAAGTAGGAATAAATAAGGACTGTTGTGTGAAGCAGGGCTGCGGGGAGGAGATAAAGAAATTACTGAGTCTACGGCCATGCCACCTTGAACAAGCCCAATCCTGTCTGATCTCAGAAGCAAAGCAGGGTCGGGTCTGGTTAGTACTTGGATGGGAGACCACCTAGGAAAACCAGGTACTGTAGGCGTAAAAAAAAAAAAGAAATTACTGGAGTAGGTTTTAACTTTAAAAAAGCTAAAATTTTGCAAATGTATGATAAGGATCTAGTATGCAGAATATATAATGAACTCTTACAATTCAACAATAAAAGAACAAATAATCCAATTTTAAATGGGCAAAGGATTTGAATAGACGTTTGTCCAAAGAAGATATACAAATGGCTGATAAGCGTATAAAAAGATATACAATATCATTAGTCATTAGGGAAATCAAAATCAAAATCACAATGAGATGCTGCTTCACACCTACTACAATGGCATAATTTAAAAACAAACAGAAAAACAAATAACAAATGTTGGCGAGGATGCGGAGAAACTGCAACGCTTCTACATTGCTGGTAGGAATGAAAATTGGCACAACCAATATGGAAAAGTTAAGCAGTTCCTCAAAAAGTTAACCACAGTTACTATAAGGCTGATAATTCCACTCCTAGGTCTATACTCTAGAGAACTAAAACACGTTCATATAAAATTTGTACACAAATGTTCATAGCAGTGTTATTTCTAATAGCCCATGAATGGATACACAAAACGTGCTATATCTATATAATAGAATACTATTCTTCCATAAAAAAGAATCAAGTACTGATACATGCTATAACATGGATAAACCTTGAAAATATTATGCTTCGTGAAAGAAGCCCAACACAAAAGACCACATATTGTGTACCTCCATTTAATATATGAAATGTTCAGAACAGACAAATCCAGAGAGACGGAAAGTAGATAAGTGGTCGCCAGAGGCTGGGGAGGGGGTGGGAATGGTAATAACTGCTAATAGGGTTTCTCTCTGGGGTAATGAAAAAGAATTAGATAGTGGTGTTGGTTATACAACTCTGTGAATATATTAAAAACCACTGAATTGTACAGTTTGAAAGGGTAAATTTTATGGTAGGTGAATATTTCAATAAAGCTATTATTACAAAAATATAAATATAAATAAAATAAAATCTCAACAGATTTTTCATTTGTGGTTCTCAAATCCTAATAGGGCAGGGTGTAGAGGGCAAAGAAAAAGGGGCTGAGGGATTTTAAATTAAAAAAATGTAAATTAGTCAATTCTTGGTCATTGACATTAGCAGCGTATGGAAAGATATGCATGATATAAAATAATAACAATTATTTTTATTTAGTTTTAGAATTAATATTTGCATAAACATTTGAATAAAGGTATCCCCAACATTCTAGGTAATGACTTTGTTGGCAAGAGTTTGAAACAGATTTTGGGACATCTGGAATTCTTAATGGAAATATTAATGGAATGAGAAATGAGTACTAAATCATCCAGAAAATTCTTTACTAATCGAAGTACACCTTTAATGTTGATTACCCAGCTGACTTTAGCCTCACTTTCTTATGCAAATCATTGAAGCTTGAGTTACAATTTTTATCAGTTCTATGGATTTGCCATTTTTTTTAGGGCTCTCATATCCTGTATTTATAATGTGTTAGTTTACGTACTTTAAAATACTTGCATCTGTACTACATCTGCATAATTTATTATTAGAGTTAGTAGTTTATTTTCCAAATTTGCTCTATGTCTAAAATTTACTCAAAAAACAAAAGATCAGATGGTCTTATTTTTGTTAGCTATTTGGCACTATATCCAACTGTACATATTGTATGAAGGGACCAGGGAGCTTTTAGCCAACAAATCTCAGCCCCGACAGATTTCGGCATCAAACTATAAAGAAAATTCTTAACTCTTCAACCAATAAAATAAAACTACATGATAAGGACCTGACTCTCAAAGAGCCATCATGTTGCCCAGCTTTCTTGTCTTGCTCCCCTACTCACTTCCCTCCAAACACAGTTTCTCTACTAGGCACAAACACATTACCTTTCAGATTAATGCAAAGCACCAACCTAAGCAGATTGCCGCCTCTAGTACCTTTCTTAGAGCTGGGAAAGCAGCAAAGTATCTGACATTCAAAAGAATTTCTTCCTGGGTGATATTCAAAGTATGAATAAATAAGGACTGTTGGGACAGGGTATGGGGTTGAGGAGGAGAAAGAGTCAAAGAAATCATTGGAGCAAGTGCTAAAGTTTGAAACATGCTATGACCAGGAATTAAACTCAGAGAAGAATCCAGCATTTATGAGTAGCAATAGAGGATCTATCTACTGGTTTTCCCCACCACCCCAGCCCCTGCTGAATCCTCTCCTTGTTAAGTCTGTACTGGAAAGAAAAAGATAACCTACAAAATGTAAAGGAAATGATATTAGCCCTGGCCCTGGCACTGTCCCTGATTCCACCAAGGAGTAGTAGAGCAACCAGCACTGAAAACAGCTATGTAATCTCCCATGTCGTAAAAACAACAACAACAACCAGAAATCCCAGAGTTACTGGAATTAAGAAAAAAAGGCTCCAGAAAGTGAAAACCTGCAGATGATATTAGAGGAATGAACTAGGAAATCCTCAATTAAGCAGAGAGAAAAAAGGGAAGCAGCTGCCCCCACTGTTGTCCTCATGTCATCCATCTACTTTCTTACCTCATTGTTCATATAATGTAGATCAAGAGGCTGCCCAAACACTGTTGTCACCTTGTGCTCCACATCCTCGTATCTTACAGGCCGGCTGAATGCTATAATTCTGAAAAGGAACAGGAAGCACAATTAATTTTATATTGTAATGTAGGGTTTAAAAAGCTATGGCTTCTGAGCGATATCTTCTTCTCCCCAACCCCAACATAGGATACTCTTTTGCATGCCATTTGTCTTTCTCTCTATTGTTTCTTTTTCTTCTCTTATCTACCTGTAACTTTTCACTCTTCCTCTGAGCATCTCTCAGGTTTGCCAATCGTACCCATAAGCATTGCTCAATTCCAACCACCATTCTACCATTTCAGCTTAGATCTTTGTCAATGACAGTGCAATATCATAGCAGGATACCTGGATTAAAAAACTATATACCAAATACTCCCATTAGGAAGAAAATCTCTGGAGATTTGAGCAACAGTCCTGAGAAAATGGTCTTAAACTCCTAAACAACTCAATTCCAGGACTTGAAAGGTCTTTTTCATTTGTTTGTTTTTGAGATGCCACAGGAATCTCAATACTGATTACCCTCAGAATTGAGATTTCCTACCACAGTCAGAGGAATTCCCCTTGAGTTAGTTATATGCCTGGTCATTTTCTTAACCAGTGACACATGTGAGCATGTAAGTAGTGTTGATATTGATGCTTTTGATATTGATGCTTTTCTAGACAGACTCATTAGGTCAGTTCAAAGAACAATTTCTATAAATGGAGGGAAGAGTAAGAACCTGTCCAAAGAGGTCTTAAAATGATTTTTCATTAAATATCACTGCAAAATTTAAAAGTGGGGAAAGAAGAAATAAGATTGGCAAAATATCGATAATGTTGAAGCTGGGTCACAGATCCATGGGGGTTTAGTATAATATTCTCTTCTTTTGTGTTTGAAATTTTCACTAAAATGTTTTAATGAATATATTAGGTTGAACTGTATGATACTGCTGATAGTCAACAAATTTGATGCATAAAAGTGGCAAATTCATATGGGTTCAACATAATACTCTGAAATTTAAATAATTAAACAAAAATAAGCAAAGCGATAAACAGAAGAGACTATCATTAAGAAATTCATATACATACTCTCTCTATATACACATAGAGGAAAATATAGGATTGAAAAAATTAAATTAGAGTGGAGAAGAGTTCCTAAGTATGACATAAAATATATAAGACAAAAAAGAAGACAGATTTGACAACAAAAATTTAAACCTCTGATGACAACATAAACCATCAACAAAGTTAAAAAAATATCAAACCTGGGGAAAATACTTGAAAATCAATAAGAAAAAGACAAACAACCCAATAGAAAAAGAGGCAAAAGGTATGATGAGACAATTCAAAGGGTTATGACTGGCTAATGAACACATGAAAAGAAGCTTAATGTGATGGAGAAAATGCATATTAAAACTGTCTTCTTCTCTTAGAACGCCTAGGCTTGAAGAAATGTGACTAGTGTGTGGTGAAGTAACAGCACTTGGCCATGGAGCTTCTGCAGTTCTTGCCCTTCTCCACACTAAGAGGAAGTAGTGTGTGGTTCTTTCTCATCTTCCCTGCTCTCTGAGTGGGAAGTGGTATAACCAGAGGAAGAAGCAATAAACCACAGGAAGGAGGAATCTATGCCACTGGTTTTTAATGGAATCTGACCAGATAATTTCTTTAATGTTAGAAATTATATTGCCAAATATATTAGTTTGTATCCACCGGGAAATCCATCCATATTGTAATCCTTACATTTTTTCCCTTAAATCATCTGTCCCAAGCAATGAAACCATTGGGTGCTATCTAGGTATGGATTACTGAGATATGAGTTTCCTGGAACCTTTCAGAGAATGGATTTCCATAAATTTCTAATCGCAAATCAGACCCCCTTCTCATTAGGACCTCAACAACAGTTCAAAAGGGGCCAGCCCTTCTGAATAAAATACCGGGAGGCCCCTCAGATGTCCCTAGCACACTACTAGAAAAGCAGCAGGCTCAGAGATGAATTCTTCTGCATTTGGGCTGGAGACAGACAAGCCATTCAAAATCTCCCAGAAGCAGCCCAAAAGTCTGGTCAAGATCAGAAACTAGGGCTTCTAGATTTGGTAAGACCTAAACTGCTGCCATCACAGTGAATAACAAGCATTTTTAGGCAAGTTCATCAAAGAGGGGTATAACACGGGTGACAACCACCCCCACCAGTACCCAGACATGAAGGTTTTCCAAAGGAAGGCGGCCCTAATCTACAGTCTTCCTCTTCTGCTCTCCTGAGGCGGAAAGGGAGAAGGGTCAGGAGTCTGGGCCGTTCCAAAGCAAAGGGAAAGTCAACTTGCCAAAATGAATACCCGAAATAGGTAAACAGGAAAAATCACTATTTCTTTCCTTTCTTCTATAAATTTTGATTCTATAAAGACCTACAATATTTAGATCGATACTGCCCATATTCCCTGTAATAAGTAAAGAAAGCCGACAATAACATTTTCTACGAAATCCTAAGACATGAAATACATGAAACCAGAGCTGTCTGGCACAGAGCAGCTTGAACTTGGCTTCCCTAAACCAACTTTATAAAGTCCTCAATTCCACACATAGTACACAAATAGTGAAATGCCATGGCTCCTGAAAACAGCTCCATAAAAAGAATATACACAGTTTTCAAAACCTTGATACCAGTATTCTGCCGCTCAGGGCTTCAAAAGGCCATTCCTGTCTGACCACCTTAAATATTTGTGGTTTCAATCTGGCAGCTCCTATGAAACTAAACACATACACTTTCTCAGTGTAAGTCTGCTCACTGTAACTGCATACCACTTTGGGAACAGGAATTCAGGAGAGCGTAACTACATAATTAGGCTCCAACACAATTGAGCTTTTGATTTCATATCTATTTCTGAAAATTCTCTGCCAGTCTGAGTTTGGCCATCCTTCCAAAACCCAGTCAGGTCAGAAGTGTGAAAAGCAGCAACAATGTAGTAACAATTTAACTTCTCTGCAAGGGGCATGGCACAAGAGGAGCAACTAGGGACAGAGCTCAGAAGACCATCCTTCTTCCAGGTCTGGAACAGCCCTAGAATCCACATGGCAGCAGCAGGACTGTGGCTCTGCAGTCCTGCACAGTGTTTCCACCAGGCAACCTCTGAAAACCTTGCAGGCTTGTGAATGTATCTTTTTAAAGGTGAGCATCAGCCACAGGTCTCCTATGGAGCTAGCTTCAAGGTGGACTGAAAGCTGCCAGCAGCAGAGAACTACCAGTACTAAGAATGTTTGGAGGCATAAAGGTCCTCTGGTGGGGCTTGTCAAGTAGGAGGACCTTATCCTCATGAGTATGCTCTTCACCTCCCCAAATGCTCAGAGCAAACGAAAAACAGGGACATCAATGGGTAGGAGAGAAAGGCACAGAGTGGGAAACAGATGTTAAAAGGCATACTTATGCAGCACATACGTGTCACACATATGCACACACAGGGTCCCAAATATACCATGACCAGTGTCCTGTATGTTTTTTAGAAATTAAGTGGAGTCTTATTTTTCTTCACTGAGGTCTACCTTGTCTTCCTACAAAAAAACAAATAAAAAACAACAACAAAAAAAAACACAAAACAAAAAAACTAAATACTGATAATAGAGAAAAGAACGTAAGAGTTTTGTAACAGTACTTTCACTTCCCTAACAAGGTAAGATACAGAATATAGACTGAAAAACTCCCTCTTTCTATGTCCTCAAATGGTCTGAACTCTTTCACAACTGAAGGACTTGACAAAGTCTCCCTTGACATAGAAACATTGTAAAGAAACTTCTGATTCACTAGCCTGGCCCCTGATATGGACAAAGCCAGGGCAACTCTACCAAGGATGGGAATGGCATCATGTCACAAGAGAATCTTGATCTCTCTCTAATGCCCACAAGTGGCACAGTGTCAGTGTGTCTGGAAGCCATGATTTTGAGTAGGGCTGGAATCCTGACTTCCTCCCCTAAACAACTTGCAAACCTCACAGTAGCAGAATAAGAACAGAAGAGCATAACATCAGCAGTTGAAATGGCTTCCAATTCTAAGACCAGAAACAAGATTCAACTGGTAGGCCAAACCAAGGGTGAAATTTTCCCCTTTAGGCCCAATCAATCCCACAATTGTCCAGCCAGTGACCCCACAGGAATCACTACAGGGACACAAGCACTGATCAGAAGGCAGACTTACCGCCGCTCTCCGTTGTGCTCAAACTTGATTCTGACGTCACTCTGCCAAAGGAATGATAGACAGGTTAGCGGGTCCTCTGGCATGTGTTACTCTCAGGTAAGCCTCGGGCAGTAATTTAGCAACATTAAGCAAACATCCAGATGGCTCCTGTTCCACCTTCTCTACCCCACAAGCATTCCTTCCCAATGAGTTGTAGTCTTCCAGTTCTAACTTCAGGGGCAACAAAGCTCTTGGGACAAGATCCCTAGGTGGCTGCCCCAGCTTAGTTGCTATGCTCTGACCTCTTATCCCTCCATATCACCTCCTGGCCAGGATACTGTTCCTTCTTGGCTGATGTTCCCGAACAGAAAAAGAAATCTTAGTAGTGATACTTACTAGCTATATGACCACAAGCAAGTTACTTATCCTTCCGAGTCTTAGTTTTTCTATCTGTAGAGTGGGGCTAGGCATACCCAATTTGCAGAGTTGCTATGTAAGTAAAATACCCGATACATAGTAGACATGCAATAAATGGTTGCTGCTGCTACTACTGATTTCCATGCTCTTCTCGCAGCTACCCCCAGTGGGGGTAAACTGGGACCCTGGACAAATTACCTTATAACTGCCTCCAGCTTATCCTAAATGAACATCAAGGATAGCTATAAACTCCAGGAAGACAGGGATCATGTCCATCTTGTTTCTATACCCCCAATAACAACCAAAGGGAATGGTATAATATTTGTGCTTAATAATATTTGTTAAATAGATTAATTGGAGAACAGAGTTGAATGTAAACAGCAGAAATAAGAGGAAGTAGAAGTGTTAAAATGTCAAAGAACAAATAAAGGAGGAAGAAATATTGTAAAGGGCAAACGAACAGCTTGAGGGAGCTAAAAATGACAGGAAAAGAAAACATATATTACAGAAGAAAAATCAGGTATAGAGGAAAAGAAAGATGGTTAGAAAACCAACAAATAATAGAGATGGAAGAGAGAAAGAGTTCATAGTGAATAAAATTATACTGAGAAAGACAAATTAATTGACTGTAGCTTGAAAGAAAGAAGAGGGTTTCAGAGTATCTGAAGATGAGGAACACAGCAGACAGAGAAGATGGCAGAAAAGGTAGAAAGTTTGACAAGTAGGACGGGTACATAAAGGTCTTCCTTTTCCCAAGAAATTAGAGAGCTAGGATTCTTTTTCAGTATAATTTACACTCTAAAAATTAATGAGAACCTTAAAGAGCTTTTGTTTATGTAAATTATATCTACTGATATTTGCCATATTAGAAATTAAAACTGAGAAAATTTAAATTTTAAATAAAAATTTAAATTAAATTTTTAAAATAATTAAAAACCATTACCTGTTAACATAAATACAATTTTTATTTAAAAAATAACTATATATTTTTTAAAAGTTCAGTGAGAGAATGTAAATCTTTTCAGTGTATGGCTTACAAGAGACAAGCTGGATTCTGATATCAGCTTCTGCTTTCAATCTGTTGTGATAAAGCATCTCGTGTAGCCTCTGGAAAACACTTCTGTACATTCTTAAGAGAATGAGGGTGAAAAGGGCAAGTAACATCTTAGTGTTATTATGAAAATAGTTTTCACCTCATGGATTCCTGAAGGGTTTTGGGAACCTCCCTAGACCATAGCTTGAATTAAAATATAAGTTTGCCATCTTCTAACTCTTTATTTTAAAGACAAGGAAATGGGCTCAGAGAGCTTAGTGTCCCTGAAAAGGTCATGTACCAAACAGTGGAGAGCAAAGCTTCCCTTAGAAACAGGTCTGTGATGTGACAATTCCTCAAAATATTGCCCTGATATAGCCCTCTCATCCCTTAATACAATATACGGACCACTTTATCCATGAACAATACATGACAATAATTAACATTTATTGAGCGTATACTCTGTACTAAGACTTGTTCTAAGCACGTTATATATATCAATAAAACTAATTCTCACAACAGGCACTATTATTATTCCTATTTTACAGAAGAAACTAAGTTACAATCAGGTTAAATAAGTTCTCTCAAGGTCATGATGCTTGTTTAAAAGAAGAACCAGGACTCGAACCATGGAAGCCCAGCTCTATCATGCTATTCTACAACGTAAGCACTGCACTGGCAAAGAAGGTTTAGTTTACTCACGGATGCAGGGCTTCAATGAGAGCACTGAAAGAAGGAAACTATCAATGAATCTTTTGTGATATTACTTTTTGGAACTCATGGAGAAGATGGAAAGATCTCCATTTCTGAGTAATAATGCTGTCAGAATCAGAAGACTGGTACCAACCACGCAGCAAGCTAGGGGACCTGAGGGACCAGTATGGGTGGGGGTGGGGGTATACAGGGGGAAGGCAGTAAGCCCTATCTGGTCTGCATTCTAGGCGAGTGAGTGAGTGAGTGAGTGAGTGTGTGTGTGTAGCAAAAAGGTGCTACAAAGGAAGTTATCGTGTAGATTCAAGGTTTATATGAGTGACAGGAGTTTTTGCACTGTCTTCTTTTTCTCCTTCCCCTGAAACGCTAAGCAGATACCAAGGCATGGTGCCTGAGACATGCTGCCACGCTCTGACATGCCATCTCCAGCCTCCCACTACCTGTAGTTCCACAACTGGCTTTGGAGTAGCCCAAGCACTCACCACAGTGTGCAGTCCTGTCTGTCTCTGCCGGTAGGTCACTACATCCTTTCACCTTCTCCTGCTCATAGCCCAGCATACCTTGGTGTAGGTTCTCGCTATTTTTTTGTTTTACTAATAGATTCTATGTTTAGAACAAGTTTTATATTAACAGAAAAAGTGAAAAGATAGAGAGTACCCATAGACCTTCCCCCTTATATTAGAATGGTACATTTGTTTTTGTTATAACTAATTAACCAATATTGATGCATTAACTAAAGTCCACAGTTTATTCAGATGTCCTTAGGGAGTTTTTTTTCCTCTGTTGATTTTTATCTAATTTTTATAGCAATAAAAAATACAACAATAGCTCTCATTCTTAAACTGGGACAGCATAACATTTAGATTCACCAACAAAGGAATCCCCTTAGTCCTTTTGTGGGACTGAATCTAAGCAATATTCTATTAGTCAGAAATTAGTGAATTTTGTCAGAAAAGGAATTAAACTTTTGCTCCAAACCAAAAAATCAGTCCTACTCAAGACTAATCACGTCTGTGATTAGTAAGCACTGTGAGCAGATATCTAGTGCTCTGAATCCTTTCTCGGATGTAGTGACAGCCTTTCAAAGCAGGATGCAGTCCCATGACTGGCTTCCATGTACCACATGGCATGTTTAAATTCATCGAACTCCTAAATCTGAGTTTCCCCTGTTAGGATGACAAGAATAAGCCATGGATAGAAAACTTCAGATAAAGATAACTTGATTCAATTCTTTCTTGCCAACTATTCTTCTTGCCTGAGGCATTTTGAACTGGTGGCCAAGTCCTTTTTCACGAGCTTCTCTCTTCCCCTGCCTCTGTCACTCTATCCCAGCCCAGGGAACCTGCCACCACTCTAGCCACTTCTGCTTCTTGGCTGGTTCCTCTTCCTCATGCCCTCTCCCACCCCTCCCCCACATGTGATGTTTGGACTTTTGGCCTCTGGATTTCTCCTCCTCTCTTCACATCTTCTTCTCAGTAGGAATAAAATATCAGGCAACTTCTAAAGAGAAGATTCCCAAATCTCCATGTCCAGTCCCAACCTCTTAAGCAAAGATTCATCTGTCTGCCATGTATTTGAGGCAAATACGTCATCATTAAGAATGTAGTGCTAGAGTCAATCTATCTGGCTTCAAATACTGGCTCTACAACTTCTCTCTCCTCCTCTCTTCTTCTCAGTAGGAATAAAATATCAGGCAACTTCTAAAGAGAAGATTCCCAAATCTCCATGTCCAGTCCCAACCTCTTAAGCAAAGATTCATCTGTCTGCCATGTATTTGAGGCAAATACGTCATCATTAAGAATGTAGTGCTAGAGTCAATCTATCTGGCTTCAAATACTGGCTCTACAACTTCTTAGCTATGTGACCTTGAACTTGTTATTAACCTCTCTGTGATCAGTTTCCTCCTCTGTAAAGTGAGAATAGTGATTGTATCTATCTCATAGAATTCTCAAAACAATTAAATAATTGATAAAGATATGAGAACAGGACTTGACACATCACAGGTGCCCAATAAATAATAACACAGGTCTAACTATCCTTTAGCCAAAACCCTTGGGGCCAAAAATGTTTCAGAATGCACTTTTGGATTTAACGAAGTAGCGCGTTCTATGTATTACATGATAGCTCCCCACAGGAGGTGGGTGTCTGAGGCAACACTCCGATGGCAGAAGCAGAATGTTCACAGGTATCCATGTGCTCCTCTGCATCACTTAGCCTCTCTTGAAGTTGGTTTTGGGCTTTGTGACTAGTTCTGATCAAGAGTTGGGAACCGAACTGAGTTTCTAGACTCTCTTTCCTGGCAGCCACATGTTCCAGGTCAGGGAAGCCACTCTCGATTAGGGTCCCTAAGTAACTGTGCAGGATACTGTCCTCCCCTTCTCTGTACTGGACATATGGTATTAAGTCACTAAGATTTAGGGTTTATCTGTTAACACAGCACAAGTTAGTTTTTGTAGTGAAAAGTATGAATATTCACAGTAAGTAGAATAAAGACTAAAAATAGACCTGTGTTCATTCAGACCAGGGTTTGCCACAAATAAAAAAAAAAAAGAAAAAGCCTTTCAGCAGTTTGCAGTACTGTTTGGATTTCAGAACTGCAGATAAGGGACTATGGACATGCAAAAACCACACACACATGTATGCACACAATCTGAGTTTTTCACTGTATTCTCAAACTCAACCTAGCCATATGTGTTTGCATCAACTACCTCCTAAACTAGTCTCCCCTCTCAGTGTTGCTATTTCTAACACTGGTACGACTGCTCTCTTGGCTACAAACTCAAATTTCTGAATTCTGCTTGATTCTTTCCTTTCTTTCCCCTCCTCACAGTGAGACAGCAAGTTCTAATACTCCCTTCAAAGGCCTCCAGTATAAGACATCTGACCATTCTCTCCACCATCACTCTCTCATTTAGCCCCTCACTCCTGGATTCCTAAAGCAGCTCTGTACTTCTCTGCACCCTTCTTCCAACACATTTTACATTCTTCTACAATTTCAATAATCTTAACCACTGTTTTCACCATGTCCCTTCCTATTCAAAAAGTAATCAGTAATCCCCATGACTTTATGGAATAAAGTCTAAATTCTCAGCTCTCATTCAAAGCCCTAAGGAATTTAAGCTCATTCAGTTTACCTAACCATCTCACTTTGTTTGTTCTCAACAGGAACCCTCTCTCCAGACAGATCAATGTCCATCCTATTTCCTGAAATATGCCACATTCATTCCTTCCTCTAGGCCTTTAATCATTCGATTTCCCAAACTGGAATGCCACTCTTCTTCCTTTCCACCTAACTAAACTTTTACAGCTTAGTTCAAGTGCTACCTCCTCCAGAAATGACTCCGTAAGTTCTTCGGTACAAGTTCATCTATCACTTTCCTGGCCTCCTGTAGCACTTACTATCTGTACCATATATTTAGACATAGTTACATTCTACTTTAGTTGCTTTTTTTCATGAATTTCTCATTTCCCAATAAAACTGCATGCTTCATAGGGTACAGGAAACATAACTTACATTTCTTTCGTATGTCTAAGAAACTTAATTACAGGCACAAGTTGAACTAAATGGAGAGGTGTCACAGCTGCTGAGAAAAATGTTACAGTACAAAAATTCAGGTCTAGGCAGGTTGAAGTCCCCCACCCACCACAGCCAATCTGGTGAAAGGAATAATGAAAGCCAAGCCCAGGAGAAGAATAGTGCAGGCCTCCAGGGTGAGCTATCAGCAGGGCCAATAAGAGTAACCAATGATGACACCAAACTTAAGCAGAAATGAACTTCTCATGGTCTGAACTCAACAACTGAACATGTAACCCAAGAGGGCTTCCAAGAATCCAAAAAATTGAACAGTGTTTATTAAACAAATGTTTGTGAACTAATCTGACCTGGTGAAGGCCTCAGCAAGCCATCAGGCCCGGTACGCTCTCAGATTCTGTAGTGCTCCCTCTCCCTGTATTTGCTATATTCCTTTGAGGGCTCCCACATCTTTGGCATTAGAGTCCTAATTTTGCCAAAGGTAGTAAAATAAATGAGAAGAAAAAGAAATGGGCAACAAAAAAATAATTTTATTTGTAAGTGTGACTAGGGAAAGTCCTGAGAGATCAGTGGAAGACATGATTATAAAGCAACTTCTTACAAAATAGCATACCAGGCTTGTGTGTCGCTTTATGTTTTATTTTCAGACTAGCCAGCCTATCTTACCAACAACCTCTAAAAAACAAAGGAAGTCCTGAAGAGCCAGGTCTAACATAGTAAAAGCAAAACACAGTCTGCTATATCATTGACCGTGCTAGAAAAAGAGCTCTTAAGATTCCTGCTCCTCTAAAACTGATTCTAAGAGCCTTGTCCTGCTTATGCCTGCTATGAAGAAAGCAACTTTCTCATTCTGAAGCTCCCACTAGTGAATATCTGGAAGGTAAGACTGAGAGACCCTGTGCTCTCTGTTTAAGCCTCTACCTACCATTTGGATATGATCTAAGAGAAACAGGAATCTGTGGAAATAAGGATTCTATTTCTTCTCCCACTGGGATTTTCAGAAATTAGGCTAGCTTCAGAAGTTTGCAAAGGACTGTCAGATAGACAATAACGACCATCCAATAAAGGTAGAAAACTTTAACCCTTTTGGTACCATGACAGTATGCATAATTCTGGTTAGAAGTTTTCACTAGAGCTTATGCATACTCATAATGCCAGAACATAACAGATGTGATCTAATCATTACTGCTTTACATTTGAACATTTGTTTTGCAAATGCTCAACATTCTGTCCATGATCTTAAAACAGCTTTAAGAGGTAGACGCAGTAGGTATTATTAACCCTATATTTCAGATAGAAATACTGAGGTTTAGAAAGGTTATTAGACTTACCCACAGTCAAATTATTATGACCAGGAGTATTATATACATGCTTATAGTTGTTGTTATCATTGTTAACTGTAGTGGAAAGTCCTGTAAATTGGAAAAGCCTATGCTAACAAATTACTAACAACTCAGTGACTTCTTGGCCAGTGCTCTTTCACTACACTAAGCTGTCAACCTCATGGAGAAATAGCACCTGCTGGTTATAAAGCACGGTGAGTTGATTTATGATTGTTAAAAGGATGTTACACATCAAGGCCTGCAAAACTGTCCATAAGCCCCAGATACACTTAGGATGTGCCGTATATCTAAGAATCTTCAGCCAGCTCTACCTAGGCTGTAGGCTTTCAGGGACCTAATATACAGGAAGGAGAACATAGATCCTACCTCCTAGCAAATAGTTCATAGCTGAGCACTTCATTCATTGTCCATGTACTTCCCTAGCTGCTCAGATGCTTAGCTGTTCTCAAAAGCATTCTCTTTTTCAATCAGTTACACCTACCTTGTTTACTTAAGGACCAGGATATCTGAAGTCCTGCCAGGCAGAGATATTAAATTAGGTTTTTCAGTTCTTCTAGGTCTCAGCCCCCAAACGATTTTGTCAATGCATCTATAGCTCCTCTAGCTTTCCTTGCTATAGCAAGCTTGAGCCCCATGAAGCTGTGCCAATCTCAGCTCTACCCTGTGGCCAGCATTGCCATTTTCACACTGAAGTGCTGTTTGCCTCTGCCAGCACCATCTCACCCCTGAATAAACAACCTTTCCTGCTGGCCAAAATACTTGGTTACTTTCAACTGGGACTCTGCAATTTGAATCTTTAGCCAAATTTGACATCTCTTAGCCATTTAAATTAGATTTTACTCTTTCATTCCTCTCTTCTAAGCATGGACCTTCTGACAGAACTGGTGATAGAGAAAACTGTTTCATTCTATCCTGGGCCCAAGTGAACAAAAACAAGAACAACAATAAATTCACTCTGTAGATTGTAAAGTTTTGTGTTAAAAGATTATTAATGTGTCCACACTCTTAGGTTGGGCTCTTTTCATTACACTACGCTATAAACACCTTTCCCCCCGAAAGGTTCCCCCGACCCCCACCTCACCCCATCCTTTCTAGAAATGCATTCATTGAGACTTTCTCTCTCTTTCTGCTTTCAGGAAGAATACTTTTCCTGGTCAGAAGTTGAACATCTGCTACACTTCCCAGGGGAGACCATTCCACAAACTTGACTTAATTAAGGGGAAAAGCTATCTTGACCTTTTCATTGCCCTTTTACCCAATATTAGCATAAAATTTTGAGCTTCAATTTCTAAACAGCCATGTTCATTCCACAGCTTCACAAGTTTATGACAATGCATAGAAGCTCATGACCTGTGTGAAGGAATGTGTTAATGAATTGTTAAACATCTCTAAGCATGTACTTAATTTCTTGCCCAATAAATCAGTAGCCCCTTATACAATATATAAAGTTGTGCTGTCCAAGACAATAGCCACTAGCCACATGTGGGTATTTAAATTTAAGATAATTAAAATTAAATAAAATTTAAAATTCAGTTCCTCAGTTGCTCAACAGCAACGTTTGGCTAGCAGCTACTACAGTAGACAGCACAAATTTCTAACATTTCTATCATCACAGAAAGTTTACTGAACAACACTGAGAGACTGCTTATGAATAATATTGTTGTAAGAAATGGTGACAGAATATAGTACTCCCTACAAATCCACTAAAACGACTTGTCCAGGAAATGAACTCCACACTCTTCCAGCACTAGTATCAGGTTTAAAAGCACATTTTAGCTTTAACGGATAATTTGGTTCCTTACCAAAAATTTCTTTTTCTCACTGGCCCCTGCACATGAGCTTGTTGTTACTGTGGGGCTGTTCAAAAGGGCTGAGCTGCTGCTGTTGTGTTTTTTCTTTAAAAACAAAAAACTAAGGTTAATAAGTTGTATCCTACATGCAACAGAAAAAGTTTGATAATATTCAAGTAAATTGTGGATCCAAAGAGCCAGTATCTCTTGCTGAGATTACTTCCTTAACCAGAAGTCAATCTTTTCACACCCTTCTACTTCGTAACCACTAACTTCACTCTAATAACAGCAGCAGTCACAGTAAAAGATCAGGACTTTTCTTAAAATAGCTTTTAGGCTCTAGACAGAAGAAGGATTCCTAAAAGGAATCCCCCCTTCAAGGATCACTCAAGGACCACTCTACTCCTCCTTTTCCCAGCCTATCCTTTTGGGCCTTTCAACTCGAGAAAGCTTCCCCTTTTCACCTACTGATATCCAAGCTAACATTCCCGTTTGGAGAAAGATCAGCTGACTGGAGCAGAGTTAGCAAGCACACTCCACATAGGAAGACAGGAAGGAAAGTGAGGTCATTAGGCTCAAGCCTGGGGGGAGGGGACTCACTTCTGGTAAAATGCTCCTTCCAAAAGCAGCTTTGAATAGAACTAAATTACAGCAAGGGAGAACCTACACAATTAGACAGAATAATGTATGAAAATAGTACAACAATGGGCCCTATTCTGTTGTACTCCTAGTTCTGTAAGGCATCCACAAAAATAAAAACAGCTTTCTAAACGAATCTTTCTGTTACAACATGAAACAAAAGAACTCAGGGTTCCTCGTTTTCCTAAATGCAGGAAATACTCTGGGAGGCTATATCTAGGAGACTTCAGACAGAAGTTCTAGGGCCTTATACTTTCTTTAATAGCCAAGTGTAGGTATTTCTGAAGAACTGGTAGACAAGGTGCAAATGAGGAGAGAGAAGTTTAGCTGATAACAAAGAGAACCACAAGGGAGCTGTCATGGACAAATTTTCATCCAACACACTGAACACAGCCATCTGATATACCAGATACCCAGTAGGGAGGAAAGCTCCCCATCATTCATTCCTCTCTGTAGGTCAAAGTACCCGAGAAACAGGGAGGCAAATGACATCACAGGTGAGAATGTTCTCAATAGCATGTAGGTTTAAATGTTAACAAAAATAAAAATTGTTTTCCTAAAGAAGCATACAACTCTCAATAAAATAGGCACTCTCAACTATCTGAGTTAATAAGGAGAAACAACTATAAATAACAATAATAATACGATCACTCATTATTACCTTTAGAATATATTATATGACAGTTTATTTTAAAAATTTTCCATTACTAATTATATTTTACATAAGCTTATACTAAAATTAATTCTTCCTGAGTACATACTGAAAGGTAGCTAAAAACCTGAGTTAAGAATCATGAATCTGGATAAAATTTGCCAAATAATCAGTAAAAGAAAAATTATATGAATACTTCCCCATAAACGAAGGAATTATTCTTATTCTTCATAGATGAAACACTATGCACAAGGTCAAGTGCACAAGGCTTTGCAACTCCAGATCATGACCTACATCTGGCTGATATATATCACTTACCACTTAACAGACTATGAAAAGAGGGAGCCAATAGCATTCAAGCCTGGTATATAATATTGTTGGCTTCTCAAATATTTCCTAACTGAACACTCTTCCCTAACAAATTTCATTAAATCTGCCAGGGCCACACATACCTGCCTATTTGGGTGACCCGTGTCTTTGTTCTTCATGGTCTCATATCCAGGCACCCGGGGACGTCGGCTCATCTGGAGGGCCACCAGATCCTTCATGATCGAGTTCAATGCCTCCTGTTCGTCTACAATGAAAGAGTGCACATGAGTTAAGATATTTTAACACAGACCAGCAAAGTACTTTCACAAATTACATTACTAATACTCAGGATCAGGGACTTCTGCCCTGGTAAAATGACAGACCCCATAACTCTAATTATATGAATTTGATGTCTCTTAAAAGTAGATAACTTAGGTAAGACTATAGTGGCTTGAATTTTAATGGATTCTTAATAGCACTCTAATCAGATCTCTGGCAGCAAGATTTACCATTTCACTGAGGGCAAGGGAGGTGCTCCCTTGCCAGTTTCTCTGGCAATTCTTCAGTGCCGGAGAAACTCAACCAGGAAAAATAGATGAAAAGTTGGAGTGAACTGAAGAACAACAGAGCACAGTGTAGTAGGGTACTGAGTGAAAAGATGAATTCATGGAGAGCTGATTATGGGACAGAGTCAGTCACACACTTAATCTTAAAGCATCATATACGGGAGAGTACATTTTAAAAGGTACCAAACAAGGACCTCAGGTAGCTGCTTGGAACAGAAGTTGTCTTATAAGCCTATATAGCCTTTGAATGCCCTCCTCCCAACTCTTTACAAGTTTATAGGCCTTTTGCTTCCCATAGGGAAGTCAAAAGGCAGTGCTATTGTTTTTCTTCCCTAATTGACCAAGTAATGCACTGCCTGTGTTTTTAATGGCATTACTTGTAATCCCCTTTTCTTGAAATACCAAAGAGTACTAGAGTCCTCATTCACTGAAGACAACTGGCCAAAACTCAGAACCCACACCAAACCAATTCCATGTTTTGCAAAATTCTCCTCGGTCCTTCAAGAGATCCTTGTCCACTCAAATAGCATCTGGGAGTTGAAAATAAGTAAATTTGTTGATCTGGAAAAGAATATGAGGGATGAGCTGTTATACTTGCTTTGGTGGTGAGTCACTTGGGGACTTAGGGCACACCTTAAAAGAATCGAGTACAAAGGTCTCCACCCAAGGAGAGTGCCTATCTTCTGCCCTTTATCATTGTCCACTGGAAATGTTCAAATATGGAAAGGAAAGAAGAGCATGAAGTTAGGAAGTAAAATTATGCCATCTGCCTCTCCCCACTTCCTAAAGAAAATCTGCTCAGAAGTCCCATATGCCCTTGGAGGAGATGCAGAAAAGGAAGAAGGGTGCCCATGAAGAGGTTTTTGCCTGCTCACAAAAAGGAAAATTAGATTTAAAACTTGCAAGAAAACATGAGTAGCAGAACGTCCCATCTAATTCCACTTCAAAACATATACAAAAGTATGTACGAGAGTAATACAGTTGCAGTACCAAAAGAATGAGGTAAATGAGATAACGAATAAGGAGGAAGTTGGTATTTACTAAAAGACATCAAAATTAAAACACACATATTTTATCAATTAGTTCATATTTTCTAACAATTTACCTATAGAGTCCTTAAAGAAAGGGAATTTGCTTGGTTTTTGTTTTGTACTTTAACCACCCAACATCTAAGCTAGGAAGATTGGCATACGCACACACACTTATATATTAAATTGGCTTATATATTATTAAATACAACATATATAAGTAAAATTATTGGGCCGACTGTCACAGTAAGTTAAGATCAAAATAAAGGGGATTATGACTAGATAGGTGTTTTCTGAGGACCATCCAGTGATATTTCTAACAGCAGAATGCATGGAACTTTCAGTATCAAGGTAATCATCCTTTGAACAGAGAATTTCAGTTGTCTCAGCTCAGATATTGAACCAAGATAGATGTGAATACACACACAGAGAAACATGCACACACTTGTCAAGTGAAATCCATGACAAGTAGACTAGAAAAGTTGTTTCTAATTCTGTATAAGATGATGCTATTATAAGAGCTGGTTTATCAGGTTGACAAATTCTGTTTCCAGGAAGCTAACCAATTCCTGGCATTACTTAATGGATAAACTTGTTTGGTAGCTCTAGTACTGAGAATACACTAGAGGAATAGTTTGGCACTATCTCTTGAAATTCCAGACAACTGACACAAGTGAAACAGGGTTATAGAATCTGATTTTGTGTCAAAGTTGAATACATCACTAGAGGCGGACAGGTACTTAAACTGATACTTCAAAGTGAGGACATGGATAAAGACAGGAAGTAAATCAAGTGGCTCTTTTAGGTATTTCTTCCTGGATTGAGATTTTAACTGAATTATCTGCACTCTAGTACGAGATTCTTTAAAAAATAAAAACAAACGAATAAAACTTTTGAAAACAATTAGCAGCTTTCTTAGAGTGCAGCAGTCAGTTAATGGACTTTGGAGTCTGAAAGACCTGGGTTTAAGGAGGCCTTGAACAAATCACATATTCTCCCTAGATTTCAATTTCCTCATTTGTAAAATAGAGAAAATAAAGCATTATTTCACATAGTTGCTGTGAGAGTTAAGAGAAAAAAAAACTTACAAATTATTCGTCACGGTACCTAATGCTTAGTAACGCTAAAAAATGCTGGCTATTATCATCATCAATGGAAAAAGGTCAATGGGAAAAGACTGAAGGCCACTTAACTTACCTTAATATTTAATTTTATACCTGAATTTTTATTATTCATTAACAATAATCATTTACTGAGTACCGAGCATGTATTATATGTTAGTTTTGAAAGATACTTCAAGGTATTCGAACACTAGTAAAAGGATAAACAACACACAAATACGATGTTATACAAATGAAGAGATCGAATTAGACGGTAAACAAACCAAAGTACATAAACACACATATGTAAATATCTTTTTACAGTATCAGTAGCAAGAGGTTCTATAGATGATTTTACATATTAACAGAATAAAGATTCTTTCAGAAAGGCAAGTTGTTTCAGCTATGCAGGAGAGCTTTAAAAAATGAACTAAGGAGGAGAAAGGACAGGAAAGCAAGTGAGGGGCAGAGGGGGAAAAAAAAAAGGGACTGATTCTCAGTGAATTGTAACCCTTACCGAGTAGGGTAGGAAGAAAGTATGTTAGCAAAGAACCTTTTAAGAAGATTGGAAAAAACAAAAGAGTCACATCACAGAAGCCAAGAGCAAAGAAGAGCAGTGGCAGGCATAGGCCAAGCAGGTCTAATAGAGTGGTAGAGGCAGAAACAAAATTTTAAAGGGAATCAAGAAGCTGGAGATTAAAAGAAAATTGGAAGTAGTGGGAATCAACAGTTCATTTGTAAACTTTACATGTGAACAAGCTGAGGCAGGGGTAATAGTGTGCTATAACCTTGGAAAGATTTCCTGAAGATGGGGGTGGTCTGATACACTTAAAAGCTACCAGGAAGAAGCACAGAGAAAGAAGTTAATTCTAGAAATTAAGAAGTTAAGAATCTAGAGAGGAGTATTCATACAAAATAGAAAAAGAAGGGTTCTATGTAACAAGGATTAGAGTTCAAGCTTAAAAAGTGGAAACTCTTAAGCAGTCTTATGCAGACAGCAGTCCATTATTATCAGGCAGCATGTACTTTTTCTTCTCCTATGGTATCTACGGGGCTACCAGGCAACATACTCCTCTCTCATTAGCTCCATCAGGAAGTCACTCTTTCAGACCTAGCCATTACTTCACCTTAAAGCAGTGTCTTATGAATTCCCTTGGCTAAAAATCAGAAAAGTTTCCAGAAGCACCACGGCCTTCAGTGAACATTGTTGTCCTACATGATGTTTGTTTACTATGCCAGACACTCTCTTTTCCATATATACAAATCTCCAAAGTAATATTTAAATCTTTGTTTTCACTTAACTAATAATCTTATTTCTTCATCTTGCCAACAGCTCTGCCCTACTCTTGACAGATGGTCTGATCACAGAGATGCTGTGCTTCGGACTCTCCTTGAGTCAGATTTTAATACATTTTTGTTCATATTTTACATACTCCCACTGCCTCCACACTGTCCCTACCTGAGCAAACATCATTTTATAGTAAAGATAAGGAAAAAGGCCCGATTCTCAAGTCACAAGAAACTTTTTTCCTTCAAGGACATGGTTGAACCTTTGCTAAATCTCAAAGTCAAATTCTGGTGTTTATTTTTCTGAGATATTAAGATATTAATATTAATTGATGGTTCAAAATTTAAAAAGACATATTACAAAGTAAACTACTGCTTCCTCATAAGAATCAATATATCCCACTATATTTTATTTTAATGTTTAATGAAATTAACATAAAGGTCTGGAGAATATAGGATTATGTATGCCAATTCAGTAACTACATAATTGACCTCGCCTTCCTGCGTACCTTTACACAGTTTTGACAAAGTACGACACCTCATTGCACTTATTTGTTTACATGTGTCTGGTTCACTTTACCTAACTGTAACTGCTTAAGGATAGGATAAATGCAGGTACAGGGCCTAACACTTCATCTGACACATAAAAGACAATAAATGGACCAAGAATAAATGCATAGCTTACATAAAACTAAGAAAACTGCTTCTTATCCTTTATATATTCTCCTAAATAATACTCAGATATTTATTTTTTACAAATGCCTAAAATTCAGTTTCAAAATCCAGTTGTCATTTTTTAAAATATCAGAAATCTAGTTGTGACATTGCGATATTGATTCATTATATTGTGATTCCAATTTCCATGAAAACAGTTGCTAACTATTCAGAATCTACACAGGTGGTCAGATTCTAGCCAAACTGAATTGAGACTGCTCTAACTGGGAGCTCCTAACAGCCTGGGAACCCTGGAGACAGATGTCTCTAAATCACAATGGTTCTGACTTCAAATCAAGTCATCAAACCAGAACCACACCATCTTTAATCCTATACTCAGGTCACTATAGTTTCCTGTAACATTTCCAAGTTGTTGCATATGTTTCAGTAATATTTCCCACTAAGTATCATATTGCATTTATAAAAAGTCCAAATAAACACTAGTAAATTAATCTTGGGCATTAACAGTATTTGCCACTATAATTGCTAAAACTAGGAGAGAATCCTAGTGTGACCGAAAAAAAATGACCAGTCACTCCCAATTGTTTTATTAACCACCTAGTATCAAAGCCAAAAAGAAAAATATTTCTTATTATTTACAGAGATGTGTAGTTTCCACTAGAAATTTACTGGGGCTAACAGCCA